TTTAGGAACTATTTGAATATTTCAGAAGGACAACAGGGAGGCTGAGGAATGTTCTTTGAAATTTCCTACAACACAGGATTAATTCTCTTCTGCAATAATCGAATTTTGGTTTTGTGCCTCTTCCCAAGGATGAAATCCCCCTTCTCCCTCTGACTCTCAAGGTGATGCCCGTGACTTAGCCCACTGAAGATCTCTTCTAAAGGTCTGAAGAAATATTGTTTTCTGGCATAGAATCAACTCCTGCCCCGTGTCTTCCTCTGGAAGGCTTCTGGACCACTCGTCTGACCATGAAGGAAAAGCTCAACGTGTTCTCCTTTCTTCTGAAATTGCAGGTTTCGTCCTCCCACTTGTTAACAGCTTCGGTTATGTCAGCACCCGCGTCATTGGCTATTGCTAAACTCTTCTGGCCTGAGACAGAAAAACCTCAAATAACCCTCAAGAATGCCATGAAAATGGAAAATGGGTAAGTGGGACACAAGAGGAGTCCAAATTCAAATCACAGCAAAAATTTGATAACCAGAGAGCACAGCAAATTACGGTACTAAAGTAAATTTAATTAGACTTCACCTAAAAAATCTTGCTTTAACCCTTCAAGAAAACCTTTCCAAATACCTGAATGTCAACACATTTCCTTAACTGTTTATTGTAAAGATATTTCATTGTAAATATAGCATAGAGTTCATTGAGCCTTGGTTTAAGACTGTTGGAAAGCCATAGGATGAAAATTTCAGGAGTTTTCTCATAGATAATAAGAAAGCCTATTCATTTTCCATGAAAAAGAAAGAAAAAAGGGTGAAAAAGACTAAGATTTAGGATGTTCAGAAGTATGTCATTAAATAAGAGAATTCATCAATCAACACACGTCTGAGATTTATCCCTCGCTTGTATGTAGTTGGAGTCATGACAATGACTGAAATAGCATGTTGCTAAAAATAATACATATGATTCCACTTACAAAGTTAGCAAATGTGCAAACTTACACAACATATTATTTAGGGATAAAGACATGTAGAAAAATTGTAAAGAAAGGGAATGGTAAACAGATTTTAGGGAGGCAAATACCTCTGAGATCAGAGAGGAGGGGAGGAGACTGGGCAGGAGCACAGTGGGTTTCACTCCTTTTTTTTTTTTTTAAAAGACGACCGGTAAGGGGATCTTAACCCTTGACTTGGTGATGTCAGCACCACGCTGTCCCAAGTGAGCTAACCGGCCATCCCTATATAGGATCCGAACCCATGGCCCTGGTGTCATCAGCACCACACTCTCCCGAGTGAGCCACCCGGCCATCCCTATATGGGATCCAAACCCGTGGCCTTGGTGTTATCAGCACCGCACTCTCCCTAGTGAGCCATCATGGCCCTGGTGTCATCAGCACCACACTCTCCCGAGTGAGCCACGGGCCGGCCCTGGGTTTCACTCCTTACATGAGGTGATGGATATACAGCCTGTGCTTGAATCAATCAGTTTTTGTACCATGAATATTTTATATTCTCTGCTACCTACTTTCAGTAAAAATAATTTTTGAAGCTGTAATATTTTTATCATTTCCCAATTTTTTAAATTATAAACACCACAAATTAAGAGAGTAATATAACAATTAGACACCCATATGCCCATCACCTATGAGGGCACTTCAAAAAGTTTGTGGAAAAATTCATATTATCTTTTAATTCTATTTTTCCACGAACTTTTTGGAGTACCCTTGTATCGTCAACAATCATAAACCCCATCATGATCTCACGGGACTTGGGTATTGTGACCAAGGCATGGACCTGAGAGTTTGTCTCATCCACATGAGCTCGGATTATGCCACTCCTGTGCCTACAACATCCGCCCACTGACAACTGCTTGGTAATTCTGGAATTGCTATTTTTTGAAAAAGTGATTCAAGGAATCTGCTAGAAGCTGCAGCCCAGGGAGCCTCCTCGTCCATCTCCCTGACAGCAAACATCGTTGTGAATCTGATCGCCTTCCTGGCCCTGCTGTCTTTTGTGAATTCGGCGCTGTCGTGGTTTGGAAGCATGCTTGACTGCCCACAGCTGAGCTTTGAGGTATAATCCCATCATGCTCCCGCCCTCTGTTTTGTTTCTGCCTATCTTTGTTTAAGAATAAAATCGGTGTGTGGACAGCCTTCCCCAGTTACCTAGAGTGTGCTCGTACGGCCCGTCTGTCCACCCCCGCTTCTCTGTCTCCTATCACCCTCCTTCCCCAACAGTCCTTCATTCTCTCCTGACCCCTCCCCCAAGAATCCAGGTTACTTCAAACGACCCAATTTCAGCTTTGACTCCTGATGGATATAGACGGGCAAGGGAATGTAAAGGGATTTCTGTTCCTAAAGGAGACACAGAGCGGGCAGCAACGATCTTGTCACTGAGGACGGGGGAGAAGAACTAGAAGCAAATCACTGTTCTAATAAAGTATCTCCTTTTGGTTTTTGCAGCTAATGTGCTCCTACATCTTCATGCCCTTTTCCTTCATGATGGGAGTGGACTGGCAAGACAGTTTTATGGTTGCCAAACTCATAGGCTATAAGACATTCTTTAATGAATTTGTGGCTTACGAGCAACTCTCAAAAATGATCCATTTGAGGAAAAAGGCTGGACCCAAATTTGTGAATGGTGTGCAGCAATATATATCGGTGAGTAAATATTTTGATTTTTTAAATACACTTCTTCATCACACGTGTTTGTTAAATAGTTACTTGTGCCTGTGCATGTCAGGCAGTATGCCAGGCACTTGGGATATACCAGAAAACAAAACAAACCAAAAATCCTTTCTCATGGAGCTCAAAATGTCCATAGCACCTCATAATTTTCAGTTATGTCAAATTAGTCAATGTGTGTGCATGCACGCAAAGAAACACAGCTAATGCTTATCACTGTGATCGTTTACTTTCGAGGACTGCAGATGCAGACCCAGAGTCACATGAGCTGGGACTGGAACCAATCAGTCAACAAATATTTACCGTATGCCTTCTATGTGCAATGTGCTGGGTACTGAGCCACAGCACTTGACAAATCACAAGGCCCTGTCCTCACAGGACTGACAGTCTAATGATCATGAAGACCTCTTTCTTCTAGCTGGAGGGACTCTTGACCTCTGAGAAACTTCCTAAATGCAGCCTAGTGCCTGGACATCCTCAAAACATAGTAAGACACATTGCTACTCTCCAAGTGGATGAGGAGATAGAAAAAGCTCAGAATCTGTGATATGACAAGTACCCCATAATTATGTCAGGACTTTAGGTCAATAGTCTGCAAGATGCTCACATCTACCTGGCCTTTGGTGTGATGAAATCAGGTGAGGTCATATTTGCAGCTGCATCTCCAACTTTTTCCCCCTAAAGAACAGAATTGTCACACACACACACTTTTTTTTTTTTTTTGCAGCTGGCCAGTATAGGGAACCGAACCCTTGACCTTGGTGTTACAAGGCTATACTCTAACCAACTGAGAAACCAGCCAGCTCCAAATTGTCACAAATAGAAACTCTTAGGGAAATGGTGAACATTCCTGATTACCACCATTACTCATTCAAACAACCCATTTGGAATTAATGTCTCCGGCACCTTTTTGGTTTTAAAAGGAAAGGGGAGGAAAAGCATGCTGCCTAGGATTGCCATTGAGCCTGCTCACCCTGAACACCAGCAGCATCCCTCCCAGCCTCCCGAAGACTAAACATGCAGCTTTACTCCTACGTATTACACAAACATAGCAGCCTAACCCAGGACAGTACTGATCTGGATTTTATGGTGGGGGCATTGTGACCCACGCTTTGGATATGAACAGGGGTTCTGTGGGTCTCCTGTTTCTCATATGTTCATTCTTCAGCTAACATCACAGTGGAGCTTGGCTGATTATCCACATTGTTTAGATGCCACCAAAACTAGTTTGTTTCCCTGCCAAAAGTAAACAATAGGCTAAATTAAGTGAAATGTTTTCTATCCCCAACTGCCAGTTGTCAGGAGAAAAGAGTTTTGTTAGTGAGCAAAGCAAGTTTGCCGTTTTGGTGATGCTAAGCAGTTTTGTGAAAAGGTTGCTACAAGGGTAGAGACAGAACAGTAGAGCTGATTTGGGCTGAGGGTGAGCCCAGCTAAAGGCAGGCACAAAGACGACACTTGGAAATATGAGCTCAGTGGCCTCTGCTACTGTTGAGTCATGATGGGAACAGCATTTTGTTTCTCCAAATTTCTGATTTCCAACCAATAAAATGGGGATGAGCCCAGCAATTTCTGTTTACCAACCAACAAGTGGGGGAGGATGTCCCAAAACTATCCTGGAAAACGTGTCATGTGACTGAAGCAGACGAGGTGGGTCCATGAGGCAAAACCACATATCAGTTGCATTTTGCCCATTGCTGACCTCGACCTAAGATAAGAGGTCAGGATCATACGTAGCACCATGTTCCCAGAATGAGCCTTTATTTCATCACTTTCTCTATCTTAAAGATGATACTTTACATGTTTTTGGTTTGTTTATATGTAACACACACCATGGTATAGAATTCAAAAGGTACAAAAAGGCATACAGGAAAAAGTAAGCCATCCTTCCTGTTTCTCTTCTACCCAGCCCTTCCTGTTTCTCTTCTACCCAGTGAGTATGGAGCATACCATACTCACTGTTCTTAACCTTGCTCCTTGCCCTTAGTAACATGTCCCAGACACTTTCCACATCAGTGCCTGAGACACAGTATTCCACTGTACAGCATCTTAACCAGTCCCCTTCTGATGAACAGTGCTGCCGATATTTTGCTATTAGAAGAAGTGCTACAATGACCTCCTTGCACCTACGGCACCTGCGCTCGTGGGCAAGGACAGCTGTGCAGGGTATTACTGTCAGCTTAGGAAACTGCACTGGGGTGCACTGCCTCTCCATCACGTGATCCCACAC